TCTGATGTGGTTTCCATGGGTTTATTAATTCTTACTGGATTGTCTAAGATCTGGACTTGTCTTGAACTCATGGAAACTTTTACAACCTCTTGCAGCAAGGACTTTCCTACACCTCACATGAAGGGCCATATCCTTCTGAATACGGTGCCCAGTAGTTTTGATTGATAACTCAATCTTTTGTATTGGAAGAGGTATGGAACAGCCAGTCCTTTCCTACCCTCTACAGGATAATTATGTTTCCATAGACCTTTTGATATACCCCCTCAGCTATCCTTTCATCCAGACTAATGAGACTCAGCATAGTCAGTGCTCCCTGGAACTCACTGGCTTCAGATATTTGTTCACTCATGTTGCCCTCCAAACCCTTCCCCATTATACTATTTCTATTCTGAGACAAGAAGAATAGGACCGCTCATTGTATTTGAGATCTGCACAAATAATGGATTTATACAGTGGTGTGGTGATGTCATCTAATGATTCCTAGTATCTGATTTGCTTTATTGACTGTTATTGATCAGTGAGGTGACATTTTTGTAGAGCAGGCTCTCACAGCCCCAAAGACTGTAATTTTTGCCCCCCAGCCGCAAGCCCCCATCCACCTTGAGCAGTAAAGGTCAGGGTAAAGCTAATAATTCTAATTTAAGGAACTAAAAATGTTGCACCTAGACAGAAGCGTGTCTGCCAGAGACTTCCATAGGGATGAGTCAGAAAACTCAGGGAACAGTGGCCCACAAAGACAGAACAAGACCTTTACAACGTTTGGATCCAGAAAGATGGTGGCTAGCGACCTGACACAGTCTGCTGAGCAGCTGGGCCAGTACAACACATAAACAATTTAATGCAGCACCTCTTTTACTGAAAATTAATAACCAAACCTTAATAAATCAACAATTACTTATTGCTGTATTTGGGATAATAAATTCTTTAGTTTATCAGTAGCTTGTGGCTTCCATAGCATGTTCTTTGAACAGTTTGCCTTTCAGTTACATCCCCTTTCTCTCCTGAACAATAAATTAGCATTCATTTTTTTCTTTTAAAGGAAAAGAGGGGAAAAAGAGGATATATTACATTTTTTTCAAAGCAAAAAGAAAAATGCAACATATTTTGACATATATCTTGAAATAATATGAGGGTAACTTTCTCCGCGTGTTAGATGCCTTGTATAAATAATAAAGTATGTTATGTTATTTACAGTGTTACACAATAAACTAAGAGAGTCTCATTTAACACATAATCCATAAAGACAGTAAAGGATGAAAACATCCAAGTATGTACAAGATGTATTTACAATAGAATAGAGAATTACAAATTATGATAATTGGCCATGTTCTTTGACTGCCCTTCTCTGCAGCATTTCATACGTGCTCCTTTTATTTCTTACTAGAAGTAAGTCCCAGCTGATGGTAAGTAGACACACTGCAGGGCCAAGAAGTGTTCAACAGGCTGAGAAGTGTGTCCTTCAAGGGGACACAAGTTTGCTATCCTAGATGCTCAGGAAACTCCATGCAATGTGTGTGAGAGAAGCAGGGAGAAGCAGTGTTCTTGTTTTAGAAGGACTGGAAAGAGAAGGAGCTCTCCTGTTTCCCTGATAAAGGCAGTGATTGATCTCTTACACCTGGGGTGTTGGGGTTGCTCAGGTGAGGAAGGGAATAGCTGGGCCTAGAGGAGGAAGGAGATTTTCCTCTGTTGCATGAGAACCCCTGTGAAGCTGTAATGATTTACACCAGCTGAACAGGAAGGCTGTACCAGGTTGTGCACAGCATATTCCAGCTATGCAACCCTGAAGGAAGCCTTTTATCCTGGAATAATTCTGCATATAAATGCATAGACAGGGAAAACTCACAGCTCAAGTTAAATGACATGGAAAGAAACCAGGATGATCTGAACAACTCTGCCACCACTGGAATATTTCCTCCCTCTTAAAAGCATATTTCTCCTTGCTGAGACTTTCAGCCAAAAGTTGGCAAGGGTTACACAGTGATGGCCCAAGGGTGTTGGGACTGCCTAGCTCAGAGGTCTGGGTAATGAAGCAAATATCCCCAAGAGGGGAGCTGGCCTTTCCCATAGGCACTTGCTGGCTCCGCTCCGTGCTGGTGCCGGAGCTGGCGGGAGCGGGCTGCACCCTGCCAGTAGAACCTGTGGCCATGTAGACTTGCTAACTTCAGGGTGTGGACTTGACTGACGCAGAGCACCCTCACAGTGTGCTAGAAGCAAGTCCAGAGGTGAGGGGCTGCGTCCTACTCCCACTTCTGTGAGTGCCAAGCCAGGGCAACTGTCACAGCTCACTGTTGCATGAAGTGTGCTGTAAGGCTG